GGGTTACAAGAGTTGCTTGGAGGAGATAGATACATATCACCCCATTTCCTTCAAGTTTTGGGCTCCATTTCTTCATCATCTTCAAGCTCTACCATCACCACTCCATTTCAGCAGCAAGGGGAGGAACTCCAGCAGCTTAAAGTCATCAAAGTTGGTCCAAGAAGCAACAAAAGTATTGATCTTCAAGGGTGAGTCCATTTCCCTCTTTTTTAGCTCATTTCTTGCAACATTTCTTAGCCTCTCTTTCTTGCACATTTGAGTTCCGGCCATAACTGAAATTAGTGTTATTTTGAGCTCATTTTTATCTTTCATTAAGGATATTTCTCTGTTTGAGTTTTATTTTTGGCACTTGCTTCACAACCCTCTTGTATGCCATCCTTTTTGCATGATATTTCTAGCCCATTTGTGATCTGTTTTTGAGCATTCTATAAACTTTAAATGTGCTTATTTTGGGCCCTCCTTCAACATTGTTGAAGGGCCCATCACCATTTGATGTTTCTATATGCCACCTACCATTATAGCCCTCTTTCCCCCTCATTCTTGCATGTTTTGTTAGCCTATCATGATTTTGTTTTTGGCCATTTTACAGTTCTGAAAATAGTCTTATTTTGGCCCATTCTTCATGTTTCATTAAGGGTCTTTGGCCGTTTGTGGAATATTTTGTATACTTTGTGTTATAGCCTCTTTTGAGCCACATTTTGCATTGCATTTCTAGCCTTTTTGTATACTGTTTTTGGGTTTTTAAAGTTCTGGAAATATGCTTATTTTTGGTCCCTCTTCAATATTGTAGAAGGGAATTTTTCAGTTTGAGCATTGCATATACCACTTGCCTCTTTGGCCACCTTTTGGCCCTTTTTCTTGCATAGGAGTGCAGCCATACCTGTGTTTGTTTTTTGGGTTTTTACAGTTCTGGAAAACATCATATTTTGGGCCCCTCTTCAATGTTGTTGAAGGGTCCTAACTCATTTGGAGTTAGCAGTTGTGAGTTGCTTCATAATTTCATGTTAGGGTCATTTTCGCATGCTAATTTTGCCCTATCTTTGCTTGCTGCTTGGCCATGTTTTGTACTAGTAAAATGCATATTTTGGGGCTGCCTTGCTTCTGCCTTTACATTCCATGTACCAATTATGCATGCTTTGTATAGCTGTAGTTCATTCTATGTGCCTAATTTTGCATTTCGGGAGAGATTCCATGCATCGGGTGTGTTTTCGCCTCATTTCGGGGCTGTTTTCCCCCACATTTCATTGCTGAAAATCCATCAACATGTTTGCATGCCATTTCCATGCCATGGCATTGCGTATGCCATCGCCTCGGTTTGCGTGCCCGTGTGCACGCATTTCGAGGCACTTCATTTTCATCCATCGGCATCCTATGTGAGTGTGGCTGAGGCTCTCTCATGTTAGTATAAGTCCATGTTGCATTCTATATGTCATTTCCATGCCATTGCATTGCATATACCATTGCCTCAGTTTGCGTGCCCGTGCGCACGCA